CCTCTTGCGTGCCAACCTCAAAATGTGGTGGTTCTACTTGATTTGAACAGGTTCACTGTAGACGTCTCCTCTTGGTTTCCGATGTTTCTTCTATCGTCTGGAAATGTACCATTCCACGGTCCGAATCTGGAAATGATCATGCATACAATGGACTCCCGACTAGATGCGTTCCTCTAAGTCTTCCTATCAATATGACCAAGTAGCGAAACCAAGGCCAAACAACTTCTATACAACGAAAGGAGATCGTGACCATACAAAAGGCTACGCCATCCTGATTTTCATATCTTCGATTATATTAAGTGTGCCCACGCTATTCCGTCATGAAGGACTGGCTATTGAATTTTCCCACAATGATATGAGTAGGCCTTACGTTTCCATTAAATTTCATGTTGTCTTGTCTCCCCAAAGGTCATCTCCTCTAGTTTAACCATAAATACGAGTTTATGTTCTTAACAAGCAGGATTAAATTCAATGGTATTGTTAGCTCGCCCTCGCCTTCCATTCGTCCTTAAATCACTTTAGGCGACTTCAAGATCGAGGGAATGTTTAAAACCTTACTCAATCGGTGAGTGCTCAATAAACGTTTATTTAGTGGCCACATATTTATGGCCAATTTCCCGAATAACTTTGACCTATCTGATATGTTCTAAACTGATCGTCAGAGGACCGATAAGTTGAAAAAAACACTAAAAAAATTTCGAAAATAACCTCCATTAAGTGAAGTTAAGACCTTACCTGGCGGCCAGATGACCTCCATGCCCGTTGCCTCTCTGGTTGCCGTGGGGATGACCTCGGACCTGACTCCCGCACAGTCCTCGGCGGCGTCGAACAGCCCAGACGGAGATACCGGCGGTGAGGAGACAGGCAAGGCCGAGAATAACCGCCAGAGTCACCGCAATTCCCAGGCTCCCGAGCAGAACCACGGGTCGGCTTCGGTCTGGTGTGGCGCCAGAGGCAGATGTCACCGCCGTCAAATGACCGGCTTCGCCAGCCTCAGTCTCCGACATACCCGAGGACGGGCCAGCACCGCCAGCATCAAAAATCCCGCTCAGTGGACCATTCTCGTATGTGTTGGGTTCGTAGACAACTGAGGCGGCATCGAGTGGC